CCCGCTTCATTGAGGGCACCAGGACTCCACTCAACACCATCCCCGACCGCAACTTCCTCGCGCTCTACCTCACAACGGCACCTGCAGAAGGGGAGACAGCAGCGGAACCAGAAGCAGAGGAGCAGGACAACGAAGCGGAATTAGGAGAAGTAGAAGGACCAGTGCTCCTAATTCCTCACGAGACATAAGCAGAGGCAGCAGAGTACCACGCACGTTACCTGCGCACTCCTGGAATTCGCGCAGAGGAGGATCTCTGGCATCAGCGACTCGGACATCCCTCGCTCCAGACGTTTAACAACTGCCTCCGCGCCAAAGTTTTTCGTCCAGGAGCACTGCTGCGTCCCATTGGCACGAAACCCCTCAGCACCTCACACCCAACCACCTGCACCATCTGCCCCACAGCTGCCCTCACGCACCAAGCCTACCCTCACTGGAGCCGAGCACCAACCGCTACAAGAAGCTGCAGAAGGTCTACAGCGACTTCATCGTGCTCACTTTCGAAGGCATCAACGGCGAAAACACCACGCTCACCTTTGTGGATGCGTATTCACGCTACGTATGGATCGCCAACGTCGACGTTCACTCCAAGGCTCCTGAGATCTTTCGCATCTGGCTCGCACACGCGCAACGACAATCGGGGAAGAAGTTGAAAATATGGCAGACTGACGGCGACAAGGAGTTTCGCAGCAACGAGCTGGAAGGGCTTCTCGCAGAGAAGGGGATCAAGCATCAGATCTCTCTCCCCTACGCTCACCAGCAGCAAGGCGTCGCTGAGAGGGTTAACCGCACTCTCATGACGAAAGTGCGCGCTCTCATGAACCAGTCCGGCCTACCCAATAAGTATTGGTCGTACGCCATGAACCACGCCGTGCGCCTGCACAACCTCCTCTCCACCACGGCCAACAGGGGCAACCTATCCCCACACATGAAGTGGACCGGCTCAAGGGGAGATACCTCCTTGTTGAGGGTTTGGGGATGTGTGGTGCAGTATCGACCGACTTCGGCCACCACCGGCAAGTTCACTCACCGCACACGCTGGGGAGTGCACCTGGGACTCAGCCACGAGTACAAGGGGTGGTTAATTCTCGACATCGACACCAACAAGATCGTACCTGCGCGCAACATCCTCTTCTACGAGCGACTCACCTTGAAGTAGTGGATCGAGGACCAGCGTCGCAACGTCGCACGTGCCTACGCCAACAACGGCCGCAACTTTGCATCCCCGGAAGACGAAGCAGCAGCAGCAGCATTCGACCGCGACCCCGTCGACGAACATTTCGGCGTGCCACCTCGCCCGCGCGACGACGACGACGGCGATGACAGCGACGACGCTCCCGCGCCAGGACCATCACGTCGCCACACTCAGCCAAGCACTTCCTCACCCGCCCACGAGAGCGACGATGACGACGATGTGGTGGAAGTCACCACCACGGACGCCGCAGGCGCCTCCAATGTCACTGGCCTACAGCTCCTTGGCCTACACACGTCAGTCACTACTCTCACGCGCGCCGTCGAGCCCAAGAATCCGCGCCAAGCCCTAACCGGCCCCCATGCCAAGGAGTGGCGTGCAGCCATGGACGCGGAGATGAAGGCGCTGGAATCACGCGACACATGGGTTCTAGTCGACCGTGCACCAGTGAAGGGGAGAAGGGTGCTAAGCGGAAAGTGGGTTTTTTCGCCTGAAAACTAACGCTGACGGGACGATTGAACGCTTCAAGGCGCGTTGGGTTGTACGCGGGTACGACCAGCGCCATGGCATCGACTTCGACCAAACCTTCGCCCCCGTCAGCCGCCATACTTCTGTGAGGATTCTGCTCGCCATCGCTGCCGCTAAGCATCTTCCACTGCGGTAGATCGACGTCGAGAACGCATTTCTTTATGAGTGGTCGACGCGACCATCTTTGTGGAACAGCCACACACCTACGAGGAAGGAGATCCCAGGGTCTGCCAGCTGAAGAAATCCCTCTACGGGATAAAGCAGGCGCCACGCCTCTGGCAGCAGCACCTGCACAAAATCCTCCTGGAAATCGGTTTCAGGCAGCTGCCGCACGACCCGGGAATGTACCACCTCCACTTCAACGGCGATTACATCCTCCTGACCGTCTACGTCGACGACCTGCTGTACACCGGCACCTGCAACAAACTCCTTAATCAGTTCAAGGAGAACCTGGCACAGCGCGTTGACATCACCATCAACCAAAGCGTCACGCAGTTTCTGGGCCTGAACATCACTTACGCGCCAGAAGCAATTCATCTGTCAGCTTCCAAGTACGGAGAGCAGCTGGGGGAACGCTTCAACATTTCGCCCACACCACTCTCAACTCCTTACCGCAACCCCAGCGCCAACTACAAACCGGACAACAAACCTCTGTTGCCCGCAGGACTCCAACTGTACCAGCAGCAACTGGGGTGCTTCCTGTTCGCCTGTGTCACATGCCGACCCGACCTTTCGTACATCGCCAGCCAACTGGCACAGTATTCTCGCAAGCCAGTAGCTGAGAACCAGCTGGACCTGGAGCGCGCCCTGCAGTACTTCATCTCTACACCTTACATCGGGCTCTCCTACTCCACGCTGACGACAACCTCCTTCAACCTCAACGACTACGTGGACGCAGATCATGCAGCTGATCCCGCGAATCAACGATCACGAACCGGCTTCGTCTTCCGCCTGGAGCCAACAGGACCAATCTCCTGGAACTCACAGAAGCAGGAGCTGGTTGCTCTGTCATCGACCGAAGCAGAGTACATCGCCGCGACAGCAGCAGTTCGCGAAGGTCTGTACCTGCAGGAACTGCTGTAGGAAGCGAAAATCTCAACCTCGCCCACCTTTCGCCTCCACTGTGACAACCAGAGCGCCATCAAGATCGCGAACAAGCCAGGGTTCGTCAACCGCACGAAGCACATCGCGCTTCGATACTTTTCGTCAAGGACGAAATTGACCAGGGCAAGGTTGACCTCACGTACTGCCCCACCACCGAGATGGCAGCTGATTTCCTCACCAAGCGACTGTCACGTCAGCAGTACCAGCACTGCTCCAATCTTACCGGAGTACTCAAGCGAGTCAGCCCTCTGCGCGACCAGGAATGAAGGGGAGGATATGAAAAATGCGTAAGGCATTCCTGTATGCTGCAGGAGCCGACTCTATTGAGTACGAAGGCGAGGAGTCAGAAGAGTCGAAGCGACACCAGCAACCGTCTGATCAAGACCGATGCAGGCAGAAATATTTGATGTGAGAAGAGCGGGAACAGGTTTGAAACGGGTTCCCGCGCCGCACGGTTTGACTTCACTGCAATAAGGGAATGTACCCCTTAGAGTACATGGCTAGTCTAGGTTGTTTCGTATTCCCTGTACTCTATATATAAACTTGATGTATGCATGCTTTTCATTATCTCAGTCATTTACATTCACTCTGACCTGAGGTCAACTCTTCCGCTGCAACAACTCAACCTGCGATCAATCCTGAGAACGATCCTTCGCTAAGTCCCACTTGGGATTGTAACAAAATAGATTCAGGCAAACTTTAGCACCACAGCTTACACTTCAATCACAAAATGCTCGTCAATCTTCAATGTAAAGACCCTGCCTTAGTATGCCCTCTGCTCCATGTGCAGAATCCTAATAGGGGGTTTTGAATCATAGTTTTGGGCATCAGTAAAGCCACACGTACCACAAACACACCATCCACTTCGATTAAGTTACGAAACGCTCATCGTTCTCACATCAATATTATATTTGGCTGTTGTTGTTTCAGTATCAAATAAACATTGGATCGTTTCATTCTGCCTCCTGATAGGGGTTTGTTGTACGGTCATACTGGCTAAAACAGTGTTGAATGTGGGTCATAAACAATATATTGAACCTTATATAGGTTGGGTTCCGCGTCGTTCCTTTCAAACCCACACTAAATTTTATGCCACGGCTTTCCATTATTTGGAGGATACTGGCACAAACAAGATACAACAAAATGCAAGCTTGTAAATTATATAAGAGAGAGAGAGAGAGAGAGAGAGAGAGAGAGAGAGAGAGAGAGAGAGAGAGAGAGAGAGAGAGAGAGAGAGAGAGAGAGAGTTAGAGAGAGAGAGAGGGAGAGAGAGAGAGAGGGAGAGAGAGAGAGAGAGAGAGAGAGAGGGAGAGAGAGAGAGAGAGAGAGAGAGAGAGAGAGAGAGAGAGAGAGAGAGAGAGGCCCTGGATCTAGTCCTTAGCCTCTCCCACCCTCTCCTAGGTAGCATATTAGGCCTAGATCCTCTTGCTAAGCCTCATTCTTCAGTTCTGGGTTGTGTTTACTCTCAAAACCGGCGGCCGCCGCTCGCCAGCGCGGCCTTCGGCCGTGCGTAAGGGACGGCAAGGGGAGAAGGAAGGCAAGCAACATAGCATGAGGTGTTACAACATGCAGCCTTAGAGATCTACAACAAATGCAACACCCCTAGGCGAGGAGAAATCGCCATGGGGAAGCCTAAGGCCAAGCCCAAAAACAAGGAGGCGGGCAATGGGAAGGATCCACGACAACCGCCCGTCCATCCAGCGTAGCACGGATGCGGCGGCTGGTACAATGTCGTGAGGGGCCTGCAAGGCGGCAAGGACCAGCCGCCTCAGTGCAGCGGGGCCAGGGCCCAACGCGGAGCCAGGAGAACCCCGAACGAGTCCGATCGCGGGCAACAACCTCAACATCTCCGTCGCCGCGGCTACCGCCTCCGACCGCTCCTGCTGCGACATCACGGGCGGCCCAACTGGAGGGCGAGGAAGCCGCGATAGCCGAGTCTGACAACGGTGCAGTTGCTCCAGAACCATTGCCACAAGGGTCAAACAGGTCTCTACGTTCGATACGCGCTGCTCGACGCGCAGAGCTCTGTCTGCAGGCTGCGAATCCTCCCACAGACTCCATCGTTGCTGCGGACTCTGAGGAGGAGAGACCTCCAGCGTAGAGGGAGACAGAGACTCCCACGGGACTGCACCATGAGACTGAAGGTGGTCGGGGGATGGGATCCCCTCGGGAGACACCGATGAGGGAGGACCTTCAGGAGCGGGAGGCGGAGAGGGAGTCGGGCGCAGTTGCGGTTGAGGCGTCGGCTGGGGAGTCCCTCGAGGCTGCTGGTGATTCCGCCGCTGTCACTGCAGATCCACGCGGTGACCAGGGCGTGGCGGGCGATGAGGCTGGCGCTGGGTTCGCCGGAACGCCTGCTGCTGCCGCGGCCTCAGAAAGGCCTGAGTGCGACCAGGGGGAGAATGGTACGCCGGTCCGCGGGACCCCTGGCGGCGGGAACGCTCCCCGCGGGAGGTGCGTGAGGCTCCGCGCCCGACCAGCACCGAGGCGGCCTGGAGCAGGGCTGGCGCCTGGTCGCCCGGGACCCCTCCAGGGCTGGCTTCTGCCAGCGCCGCCGCGACCAGTGCAAGCGCATCGACCGACATCGACGACACGACCTGCAATGCAAGAAAACCGGGGGGCCACGGCAGATGAGCGTCACGCACTGCACGACACGCCTACTCGGGAAGCAACTACAGCGGCAGAAATACGTCCGCACCAGCAATACACACAGCAGCCTACACGACGGGAGACGAGAAGCGCCACGCGTGCACAAGGAATTACCTGGGGTCAGCCGCGAGGCTTGCCCAATGTCCCGTCACATGGTCCGTGGATCCCGGCGGGAAGAGCGCCACAGACGGCGCAGGATGGGGGGAGAGCCGCGGGACGAGGGGCCCGGGGCGGGGGGAGAGGTGTGCGGGGGGGACGAGGAGGAAGAGGTGCGGTTGTTGGCGGGAGGGCGGCACTGGTGAGATCGGGAACGTGGCAGGAACGCCACGACCGACCGGAGGAGGTGGTTCCGCCAGCGAATCAGGGCGAAGGCGACTCTGTATCGAGTGGTGAGGGAGAGGACTATGTAGCCTCGCCATCAGTGGCCTCGGAGGAGATCTCGTTGGGTGAGGATGAGGATGATCAGACCACGGCAAGAGCACGTCGGGAAAGGGGGGAACCCAGGAGAAACGCGCAGGAAGGGGTACGGGAGGAGGGAGTGGCGAATGAGGCTCAGGGGGAATCGGGCGTCAGATCCCCACGGAATCTCGCCGAAGATACTTCACTGTGGCAGGAAGCGGCCACGTGGGACACGTGCCACCTGACGAAGGGCGACCAGCCATTTTTGGTCCGCCGAATGCCCCCCAAAATATTGGAGAGCTACACGCTCTGCCTTCTCACGCCGCTGATTCGGCTGTCAAAAACCCCAGACTGCCCAGGTGCATGGGTGATTCTACAGTTCCTCCCGAGGTTGACCCTTCAACCAAAGCCAGAACAAGTTGAGGGCAGCCGCTGGACGGATATTGAGCATCGGCTACACCAATTCCAGCTCGGCAACTGGCAGGGACTCTTCAACGAGGCTAGGGACGTCCCCGCTAGTGAAGGCCCCGTTCGACACCAGCCGGACGAGGCTGGCCTTTGTGCAAGAGCGGAAGGGTTGATAAAAAAGGGCAACATCTCTAAGGCAGTTGCATCACTCCGAACTACACCACTAGCAGCCCCGACACAAGACACCCTGGCAGCACTCTTATCGAAGCACCCAGCAGCAGAAACCCCAACTCCAAGTCTGGTTACAGGGCACACCAGTTCAACACTGGGTGTGACGCCGGACGACCTCCGCGAAATCCTGGCGAAGTGTCCAAACGGGGTTGCAGCGGGCCCTTCAGGAACGTGCTTTGAACACCTCAAGGACCCGGCCCTGACAAACGGGGAAGTCCTACTTCTCCTCAGCAAAGTCGTGTCCTACTTGCTCGGCACGCTCCAGACAGAGTTCGTTCGTAACCTGCTCCTGCCATCTAAGCTTATCGCGCTAGAAAAGCCGGGAGGAGGGGTTCGTCCAATTGCGATCGGCGAAGCGATACTGCGGGTCACTGCTAAGGCTGCGCTTCGGGAGCTAGCCCCGAACATTAGAGATTTCTTTCTCCCGGTGCAATTTGGGGTGGCGGTCACGGGCGGCGCCGAATGCATCATCCACTCGGTCAGAGCACTCCTTAAAGAGGACGAGTCACGGGTCGCGCTACAGCTAGATATTGAAAACGCGTTCAATAGTGTCGAGCGCTCGGCGTTCTTCAACGTACTCTCACAATCTAGTCTGCTACCGCTCCTACCCTACGTCCTCACCCTCTATGGAGCCCCGTCACGCCTCCTGGTAGATCACCGCCTCGGTGTGGATCACATCCAGAGTTTACGTGGAGTGCGCCAGGGAGACCCACTGGGGCCGCTCCTCTTTGCAGCCGCGATACAGCCGATCCTGCTAGGCACGGCGATGCTCCAACCAGAGGTGTCGGTGGTAGCATACGCCGACGACATCACCATAGTAGGGCCACGAGGCGCGGCCCTGGAGGCATTTGAGACTATCACTAGGGGTCTCGCCACGGTTGGCCTCCGTTGCAACATCAGCAAATCATCGGTGTGGTGTCAGTCAGGGGACGAGGAGGCCGAGGCAGCAGCGGCAGCGGGTCTACGGCGTAGCGCTGAGGGAATCAAGGTTCTAGGAAGCCCGATAGGCACCCCGGGATTCTGTGCGGCCCAAGCACAGTCACGTCTTGATGAGGCATCGGAGCCTCTGCCCCTAGTTTCCCAACTCCACCCACAGAGTGCGATGCTGATCCTCTCGAGGAGCCTTTCCCGCAGAGTCTCCTACCTGCTGAGGACAACATCGGCGGAAGTCCTGGAGAGGCGTGAGTGGAGGTCGTGGAGTGAGGGGCTTCTGTCTTCTGCATTGGCGGCGGCAAAGCTACGCGCACCCACAAGCGAACTAGAGCAGAGCCTGCTGTGGCGCCAAAGCACTCTGCCGGTCAGACTGGGGGGCCTAGGCATCATTGACCCCCTCTCAGAGGCGCCGGCGGCCCACATAGCCTCAATCACAGCGGCGGGGGAGCTGCTACGACACATGAACTTACCGGACGGATGCCTCCTAAGCAGGGCAGTGCAGCTGCTCGACCATGGCTGGACACCTCCCCCACCAATCGTCAATCCCCTGACCTCACTTGAAGCGGTGCTGCCGCTCACAGCCTGAACAGCACTACAGGCATACAGGGAGCAGCCGGTGGGGCAGGGTAACCTACAGCTCGCACTGTCCCGCCATATCTATGAAGCGAAAGCGGCGGAGCTCGTAGCTGACACGATCGAGGATCGGCCAGGAACGGACTGTGGCCATGCTGTACGCCTCATAAGTTTGCAAGGGGTTGGTGCACGGGTCTGGCTCCATGCTGTCCCAACGAGGACTGACCTTACATTTTCCCCTGGTCAGTTCTTGTTGGCTCTAGGCTTTCGCCTAGGCATGGCATTGCCAGTTACCCTGACCTGCCCCTGCAAGCGGGAGAACTCCTCGATAACAGACACGAGCCTCGCGAATCATCTGCTGCGCTGTGGGAAAGGAGACGATGTAGTGAGGACACACAACGCCCTTGTGTACGCCGTTCTCAGGATGGCGAAGGAAGCGGACTTCACAATCTTCCACGAAACCACGGCATTCTCCCCTCCAGTGATCAGGAAGAGAGGGGATCTAGCTATACGGGATAAGGAGTCAAACGAGACCTTCCTAACGGATGTTACTGTTACGGACCCGGTTCTTCAACGCCGTGACACACGCGCGCGGAAGCCGCCAGGATGGGCGGCGAGGGAAGCTTCTGAGAAGAAGCATCGGCTATATGAGGGGAGGCCGGACTATGTGGGCTTCTTCGGGCTGGCGATAGAGACCTATGGTGCCCTGGCGACAGATACTCAGCAGTTCCTGCGCCTCCTAGCCACCTCGGCGGCTAAGAAGAAGTTTCGCCAAGGGAAGCTGACTACCACCACGGCCAAGCTGACGGCGCACTACAGGCAGCGGTTTAGTGTGATGCTGCAACGATCATAGGCCACTTCCTTCCTCAACAAGTCCAACCTGGGTGATGTGGCAGCTTTCACACAGGGGGCCAGGGATCCTTGGGAACCGAGCCTGGGGGACCTCTGGCAGGTCCTGGAGGATGAGTTAGAGGGGGTGATGGGTGAGTAGGTGGGTGCGGGGGTGGACACAAGGGCTTAGCCGCCTGCTAGCCAGGATGTGGTCCACCAGACCCAGCCCACCTCTGCTGGCCTGCTCTGCCATCGCTACAGACTTGGCATGGACGTACCAGACCGACACCACCAGGCTGCTAGCATGCCTCCCCAATGCTTGTTTTGTGCCGGCTTTGCTTCTCTTGCATGTTAGCTACCGACTGGACTAGGCCTGTTTGTACTTGCCTCTGCCATGCCTGTACCCCTATGAACATATCAATGAAGGACCGCTTGAGAGAGAGAGAGAGAGAGAGAGAGAGAGAGAGAGAGAGAGAGAGAGAGAGAGAGAGAGAGAGAGAGAGAGAGAGAGAGAGAGAGGGAGAGAGAGAGAGAGAGAGGGAGAGTGAGAGAGAGAGAGAGAGAGAGAGAGAGAGAGAGAGAGAGAGAGAGAGAGAGAGAGAGAGAGAGAGAGATGGTAAGGTTTCAGTCCTTAGCCGTTTTTAGGCCTCTCTAGTCCTAAGATCCAGTCCTTAGCCGTTTTTTGCCTAGTTTCCTTAGTATAAAGCACCTGGATCTAGTCCTTTGAGCTCATTATTCACTGGTGAGTTGGGTTCACTCTCCAAAAATCCGGCGGCTCGCGCGAGAGAGAGCGAGAGAGAGAGAGATAGAGAGAGAGAGAGAGAGAGAGAGAGAGAGAGAGAGAGAGAGAGAGAGAGAGAGAGAGAGAGAGAGAGAGAAAGAAAGAGAGAGAGAGAGAGAGAGAGAGAGAGAGAGAGAGAGAGAGAGAGAGAGAGAGAGAGAGAGAGAGAGAGAGAGAGATGGTAAGGTTTCAGTCCTTAGCCGTTTTTAGGCCTCTCTAGTCCTAAGATCCAGTCCTTTGCCGTTTTTTGCCTAGTTTCCTTAGTATAAAGCACCTGGATCTAGTCCTTTGAGCTCATTATTCACTGGTGTGTTGGGTTCACTCTCCAAAAATCCGGCGGCTCGCGCCGGCCGCCTTCGGCGGCCGCCGCGCGTGAGGTGTGACAAGGAAAAGCTGAAACAGCAACAAGGGTGCGAACTAAAGAAACAAGTACAGCATGGAATACTAGGCAAGCGGAGGCACGGGCACAGGTAAGCCACCATAATGGGGAAAAGGAAACAAGCGCCGCAGCCGGCGGCCGGGGCGGCATCTACATCATCCGCACCCGCTGCCCAACCCACTGGAGCAACGAAGCGACCGCGGGGACAAGATCCAACGGCGACTCTTCAGCCGCCGTGGCTACCCGGCGGAAGGCCAAGGCGCCAGGGCCTTCGTCCAGCTCAGCATCTTCCGGCTCCAGCGGCAAGTGGAGCAACTCCCACATCGCCTCCGACAGCGCCACACGGACAACACCCTGCTGAATCTCATCAAGCTGCGGGTCACGAGCGACGAGCATCCGCTCCTGCACAGCGAGGTGGTACTTCTCAAGAACAGTCGCAAGACGCGTCACGAAGCACCGGATCTGAGACAGGCGCTCCCCACGCTCAAGGAATTCCGTCTCGCCCGGGGCCTCCTCCGCCCACCCGCTCCCCCACCTCCCAACACGGGGATCATTCGGCCAACCCATGTTCCACCACTCCAATTGTGGGTCCCGTGCGGTCCCAGGCGTTGCAAACTCGTCCCACCCGCGGTGCCGCTCGTTTGGCTGCGACGACACCTGGACAGGAGCCACACCAAGGTGTCAGTCACAGGCAGGAGAACCAGACTCAGGGACAAGGGGTAAAAACACGAGGAAAGGCAACGGCAGGAAAGGGGGCGACGGGAGGT